CTAGTTGGAAGAAGCGTGTCACTGTGGAGGCAGGCTTTGAGGTCTCATATATGCTCAAGATACCACCAGTGTTTTAGTCCACTTCCTGTTACCTTCTGATCAAGATGTAGCCAGCACCATGTCTGCCTGCACACGGCCATGAAACCGTGTGAAACTGTAACTAAACTGTAACTAAACTTCACTAAACCTCTGAAACTGTAAGCTGCCATCTCAATTCAATTTATAAGAATTGCCATGGTCATGATGTCTCTTCATAGCAATAGAAACCCTAACTAAGAAAGGTGTGTGTGTGTGTGTGTGTGTGTGTGTGTGTGTGTGTGTGTGTAGCCCTGGCCATCTTGGAACTCAGGCTGGCTCAAACTCAGAGATCTGCCTGCCTCTGCCTCCCAAATGCTGGGATTAAAGGTGGAGGCCACCACCGCCCAGCCCCCCATTTTCTTCAGAAGAGACTAGCAAAGCTGATTCTAGGAGTCCAAACTTTTTCCTCACAGACTTATTTTACTTGTGTGCATGTGTCTGAGTGCAGTTGTCCATGGAGGCCAGAAGAGGGCACTGGATTCCCCTGGAGGTGGAGCTGCAGGCAGTTGTGATTAGCTTGACAGTGCTGGGAAACAAACTCAGGTCCTCTGTGAGCCAGCAAGTGCTCTTAAATGCTGAGTAACCACTAGCCCCAAGGAAACTCACATTCTAAGTCAAAATGACTTCCTCAGTGCTTGAGAAGCACTCCCACCTGTCCTACCCAGCAAGGGTCAGGTCATGCAGGACTACACAGTGAGACCACGTCTAACCAGAGAGGAGCTACAGCAACAAATGCAGAAGGCAGGCTGGTGAGAGGGAACTTGCCGTAAAGCCTGGCCTGCTGAGTTCAATCCCCACATGCGATGGCAGAAAACCAACGCCCAGAGTTGTTTGCTGTCCTCTACTTACTTGAGGTAGCATGTGTGCATCTGCACTTACACACACACACACACACACACACACACACACACACACACACGGAATAACGTGTGCATCTGCACTTACACACATGTAGTAACATGTGTACTTCTGCTCTTACACACACACTTGCAGGAGCATGTGTGCATCTGCACTTACACATACACTCGCAGTAACGTGTGTGCATCTGCACTTACACACACACTTGCAGTAACGTGTGTGCATCTGCACTTACACACACACTTGCAGTAACGTGTGTGCATCTGCACTCACACACACACTTGCAGTAATGTGTGTGCATCTGCACTTAACACACACTTGCAGTAACGTGTGTGCACTTGCACTTACACACACACTTGCAGGAGCATGTGTGCATCTGCACTTACACACACACTTGCAGTAACGTGTGTGCATCTGCACTTACACACACACTTGCAGTAACGTGTGTGCATCTGCACTTACACACACACTCGCAGTAACATGTGTGCTTCTGCACTTACACACACACTTGAAGTAACGTGTGTGCACTTGCACTTACACACACACTTGCAGCAGCGTGTGTGCATCTGCACTTACACACACACTCGCAGTAACGTGTGTGCATCTGCACTTACACACACACTCGCAGTAATGTGTGTGCATCTGCACTTACACACACACTTGCAGTAACATGTGTGCATCTGCACTTACACACACACTTGCAGCAGCGTGTGTGCATATGCACTTACACACATATAACACTTTACCCATAATAATTAAAGATTAAATACATGTACACTACTGTATATTCCTTCTCACTTTATTCTGACAAAACTTGTGCATCAGGGGGTCATAAGCAGAGTGACACTGAAGTAGGGTGTGGTGACAGAGAGAAACTGCCCTCAGATGGAGGACGCAGGATAAACTAAAGAAACCATGAGCCTGTTGTTTGTCTTGATGCATTAAAACCCACTCAACCTTCCCAAATTCCTAGGTATTACAGAAGCCAGTTCCCGGATATTCTAGTTCCATTTTGTAATGTGATTTATAGCTAAATTACAATATTTATCTTCCTATCTGGATGACTCAATTTCTTATATGTATATATTTTAGCACTCTAATTTACCTAAAAAATAGTCTCTATCCACTTTTTGGGATGGTGTGGGAGACTGGCCTCTACTCTTTCATTATGGTAATAATTTTATAGGGTGGTCTCACCCACAGTAATACATCACATTTTGGTTTCCCTAGGCCTTCTTTATTTTTGCTTTTTGAGACAGGGTTTCTCTGTGTAGCTTCAGAGCATATCTTGGCTGTAGACCAGGCTGGCCTTGAACTCACAGAGATCCACCTGCCTCTGCCTTCCAAGTGCCAGGATTAAAGGCGTGCACCACCACCACCCTGAAAATAATTTTACAAAATAAAGCATAGTGAGCATTACACTCAACCGCACTCCAAATTCTCTAAGGGGGGTTATTGATCTTTATGATCCATCTTTATACAGCTGTAGTCAGTATCTATATACTTATCTTAACCTTATTTTCTACTTTAATGAGAGCATCTGTGGCTGCTCCTGGCCACTAAGTCCGAGTATTGGGCGAAAGCCTGGAGATTTGGATGAACCACAAGACTCCTGGTCCTTTTCTGAGAGAATGTCTCCCACCTTTATTGTGGGGCAGCCTTATATACAAACTTACAAAACTCCAGGTCAAAGGTTTCACAACAGGATATTGATCCCAGTGGGGGGAGGTCAGGAAAACAGGAGGTATCTGTGGTTATGCTGGAAAACAACTCTTAGAGACCCCCATGGGGGCTGGGTTCCAACATCTCCCCCTTCTTTATATATAAGAAAACAGTTATCAAGTAAGAACTATAAGATTTTAACCATTCTATCTTAGTGTGTTACTATAACTATCTATCTTCAACTCCATCAAAGACCATAGAAGAACAGTATATAAACTCTAGAACTGACAGAGACATCCTGCTTCTCAGACAGTCACCAAAGTTGCCTGGTAACCTTGGGGCATCCATCTTTAGCCTACCAGCCACAATGCATCCGGCAGACCTCCCAGCAAAGCAGGAAATTCCAAACTGTCCACCTGCATTGGGAGTTTGTCCGTCATCTTTTTTCTGGGTCCTGTAGAATGTCTGGCAGACTCTTTCATGAAGCAGGGAATTCTAAACTGTCCTGCATTGGCAGTTTGTACTCCTCCATGAAGCAGGAACCCTTTAGGCATTTTCCTGTGGGTCCTACAAGTCCAGTTTATAAAGCAACAGTTAAACAGTTTAGGCAAGAGTAGCTTCTTGCCCAAATGGCTGGTCTTGCAATGTCAAAGTCAAAGTCAAACTCTATAATATAGAGTTTCCTGGATGCCCATCTTCATCTCAGATATAATTGGTGTGCCAGGAGCAGTTGTGTCTCACTGTCAAGAAAAACCCTAAACCATTTAAATGCCATATTTTCTGTAGGTCTTTGAAAGGTTTGAAGAATATCTA